TTAATGCAAAATGTATCTGTTAGGGCATTCCTGAACAAGCTGATCTACCAGCTGTTGCCAGATCCCCGGCAACTGGTCGGGCAGATAATTCCTCATCAATCCAGGCTCCCCAACCAGCTGTACCTACTGGTGGACCCAACACCAATCCACTCAACCTGTTTCCCCAGGTATATATACTCTATTATGTGGTAAAAGTTAAATTTTGATATTGGCTGGTTAAATACAATTATGTCTGAATCAGGGCCTTCCCGATATGGGTACAAATGATGCAGGAGACTTGGATTTCTTGCGTAACAATCAACAGGTAGTTTAATTGTATTTTCTTTATGGAATCTAGGCCTCATTTTAGTTATTTTTTAATTTTTATTTTTTTTATTTATGCATCTAAAAATGTTATTCTTTGACATTTCAGTTCCAAGCATTACGAGCGATGGTGCAAGCAAACCCCCAAATTTTGCAGGTACTATTGGTACTGGTAGATCCAGTTACTACGATTGCCAATTTGAACCTCACCTAATCACCGGACATCATAAATAATTTTTTTCCCCATTACAGCCTATGCTTCAGGAACTGGGCAAACAGAATCCTCAGCTAATGCAGCTCATCCAGGATCATCAAGCTGACTTCCTTGACCTTATAAATGAACCTGAAGGGGAAGAGTAAGATGGCTATTTTAAGTTTGCAGTATTTCTTTTAATTTAATAGTTTATTAAGATTTAAATGAGCTCCAAATTAGGTCCATACCCTTTTCATTAGCAGATAAAGTAATTCAGAAATCAGAAATACATGGATGACAAAGTTTAGAAGAAAAATCTTGAATTATGAGTTCAAAAAGGATTCACAGACACACGACCCAAAAACATATATTTTCTTATCAAAAAATACCCCACACACCAATGCATCCATTGACCTCAATTATAATGACAGAATAAAAATAATCAGATGTCATGCAATGGAGACATAATATATAGGATTTATGGAAATTCATTGTACAAAAGATTATTCATTTGTTTAGGATTGATTTTGACTTACACTAGTGTCATATGATCTTAATCCTATACAGGGGAGGCTAGGAAATATTGTAGGTTTGACACGATTTGTTTTTTTTTTAAAAACTATAATCTGGAGACTCATGGTGAGAAAGGGAGGGGAGGGAGGAGGATAGGTATGTTGGCTTTCTTTGATATTTAGATTCTCAAGCTATTGTGTTGAAATTGTGTGACCAGGAATCTACAGGGTCAGTTGGCTTCCATGATGCCTGATGCCATCACTGTCACCCCTGAAGAGAATGAGGCCATTCAACGGGTGAGCTATTGACACTACTTTCCAATGAGTTGTTTTAACTTGAGCTTCATTATTGTTATCTAGCTGCATTGGCTTGATAGTGCATTCTTGGTTTTGGCACTCAGTTGCTGTATTGCCATTAGCAATAGTTTATGAAAGTTATCCAAATATTTGAAACTTGCATGTCATTCTCATCATTTTGGCAGCTTGAAGATATGGGATTTGATCGAGATCTTGTGTTGGAGGTGTTCTTTGCATGCAATAAAAATGAGGATCTAGCAGCCAACTATCTGTTGGATCACCAGAATGATTTTGAGGACTAGTTAAAGTTCTAGTTCATCTTCTCCAACTGAGATCTTCTATGATGGTTCTTTGGTGTCATTTGTTAGTCTTCTGCAATCTTTGGAGAAATGCCAATGTTAATATTTGATATACTTTTATCATCCTTTGAACAATAGCATCGGTACATCGTTTAATGCCATTGACTAGAATACAGAAACCTTTATTTTTCCCCAGCCTATATTCCTAGTTTTATAAATTCGTTTATTTGACGGTCTATTATTTATATTAATGAGAAGCTAGAAACTTATTGAACTTCAAGGCAAATGGCAAAGTCTTTTTAAGTGGCGATGCACTAACACGATGTTTGAAGGGTTTCTCCACTTTAAGCGGTATTTTTCTTCTTCATACTAAGGATCTTTTACCTTTAATTTTTTCTTCTTCACCACCATCACCTCCTCTTCCTGCGGTCATTGTTTTCACCCCCTACGTTTCCTTTTTCCATTATCACTTCATTTCTCCTTTTTAACTTTACAATTTTTATGGTACTTCTCTCTATATTTATGTGACACCCTTACTACCCCAAAACATATAACGAAATAATATAACAAAATTAAAGAAAATAAACTTTTGAAATTGGTAAAAGGGTTCACATAACAAAATTCAATACACCACATTAATAGAAATATCAAACCTAAAATACAAGAGTTTCTAAAATTGTTTTCAAAATAATATTACAGAATTTTCATAAATATCTTAAACTAGAAATCCTCTGCCCCGATGTCACACTATCAGAGCATTTTCCCAAATAAAACTGCTGACATACTATATACCAATTGCAGCTGAATCCTCTCCACCTAAAAATATCCACAATTTATACGGTGAGAAAAGAAAAGTTACTTATATGCAAAATACATACAAACACATCACGGTATAATGCATACAAGTATACATGTATTTAATTATCAATTATCCATCATTTTCACAATATATCACAATTAATAATATCACATCAATAATACATGCCAATCATACAATTATTTCCCCATCCATATCCATAACTCATATCACTTTCATAATTTAACGATAATATTTCTACATTCATAACTCATATCAATCTCACAATTAACAGTATCAATTATTCATCATTCACAATCCAACAATTCACATCAATATCACAATTAACACTATGCCAAGACCTCGCCACATCTGACACCAGTGATACAGGTTAATTGCCTCCCTTACTCACACCATACCAGGGGTACGCTCGTCCTTGAAGCATCACCTACCCAAGGTTCGTATCATCCCTGATCTACGAGGAGTACGCTCGTCCCTGAATCATCCACCACCCAGGGTTCGTATCATCCTTAATCCTTCAGTGTGAGTAACAACAATCACATACAATCAATACAATCTATTGCAATTAACCCTATGCCAGGGCTGCCATAACTGACATAAGTGATGGTGTTAA